AGGATGAGCAAAGAAAAAGCAGCAGTTCCTTCTATGTTGTTCTGGCACTGTATGAGCATAACATTGATAATTCAGCCCATATTTACAATTCTACTGAGAATTAGAAAAGGTTAATATCCCCCTTTGGGAATGGCTAAAGACACTTCAGTTAGTAGCACTGCCCTGAGGGGGCTGCCAGCCTCCTGAATGATTCAGATCTTGCAAACGCAAGCTAAAACCTAATATAAGTTCAGATATTGCAGTCCTTCGTTGTGCTTTCAGCAGAAAGAAAACAATGCAATTTCCAGGAGATTCTCCTGTACGGTTATGCTCCATCGTCAACCAAGTTTATGTTGGATATTATCAGAAAATACGCATCATTCAAAACACACACAAATAAATATTAATATATGGGAGATTACCTGAAGTCTGTATCTTATTCGATTATGGCTCTTAATGCTCGGTTTATTCCTAGCTGTCTCTTTTCAAATCTGGAGCAAAAATATTCAGTCTGCAATATCATGCATAAAAAATATGTATTATATTATATATATACATCGAACGTATTTACATTCCTCGTGTCGGTTCATCCTTATCTGCCCTGAGGGGGCTGCCAGCCTCCTGAATGATTCAGATCTTGCAAACGCAAGCTAAAACCTAATATAAGTTCAGATATTGCAGCTCTTCGTTGTGCTTTCAGCAGAAAGAAAACAATGCAATTTCCAGGAGATTCTCCTGTACGGTTAAGCTCCATCATCAACCAAGTTTATGTTGGATATTATCAGAAAATACGCATCATTCAAAACACACACAAATAAATATTAATATATGGGAGATTACCTGAAGTCTGTATCTTATTCGATTATGGCTCTTAATGCTCGGTTTATTCCTAGCTGTCTCTTTTCAAATCTGGAGCAAAAATATTCAGCCTGCAATATCATGCATAATAAATATGTATTATATTATATCGAACGTTTTTACATTCCTCGTGTCGGTTCATCCTTATCTCAGACAATAGCTAGCCCATTGCTTCTTATGCTATTCTTACGACCGAGAACAGACAAACACAATAAAACAAAACAAATTTTTTTTTAACATTTAAAAACTGAAAAGAATCGTTAGTTGGTTGAAATGAATAGATCCATGTTTTTTATTTTAAAATGTTTTTATTTGGATGTGTTCTACAATAATCTGGATCTTTGAACTTTGTTTTGTTTTGGTTTGTTTTTCTCCATTAAAAAACCAAATATTATGTTTTTCTTAAACGTACCCAACTTAACTGGCTTATACGATAGAATTGCCACGAATGTCTTATTGTGCGCCTGGGAGAAGGAGATCAATTTTATTTATTGTTTTTGCTTCTAAACCCATTGTTAGAGTCGATCTCTCGTTTCTCAATCTTTAGATTCCGTGACGAAATGTGTCGCAGTTGTGTTTGTTTGATAGATTTTTAGTTTTGTTTTTGTATTTTGGATGGTTTTCTTTTTTTTTCTGAAGCACACATTAAACCCCTAGAGAATGAGGCGCAAGCAGAGCAATTATCTATTTCATCTGCTTCAGACGAGAGCGTTTGGGAACGGTTGGGAAGGGGGTAGGGGTGGGGGGAGGGGGAAGTGTCAAAGAACAGGGATTTTAGCCGCTTCATTACCCACCGTTGTCTCCCTCCTTAGCTCCTGCAGTCGTTCACAGGGTCAGACGGTGCTTCTGCCATTTGACACTGGCTCATTCCCTTCTCAGTTGCCACTCCGCTACCTTAGAAAGTCTACAAAGTTCTATCTGCCATTTTTGCCCGTTTTGAGTCACTAAGATCATGAGGTCCGAAACCAAATGAAGAGCACAGGGGAAAAACGACTGTAGTCACAAACTGGAAATGGTGAGGGTGTCAATTCTTAAAGCGTGTGGACTCATAACTTCATATTTGTTTGACTGTTGGTTTATTGTTAAGTGTTGTTGAATGGGAAATGTAACAATAATTAACCAACAGTTGAACAGAAATACAGTTACGAGTCAACAAGCGTTCAAAATTGATACCCTCACTATTTTCAGTTTGTGACTACAGTCGCTTTCCCCCTGTAGTCTTCAAATGTTCTATTTGCTTTTTCAAAATCACAAGATAATTCAGTCTTTATCAGTATAACATATATCTAATAATCAAAGAATTGCATGCAAAAATGCTTGATATGTTGTGAAACTCCAAATTTTTAAAGTCAAATTTATCAAAACTGGGTACTGAACAGAGAGAGCTTTGTAGTTCCTAGATATTGCCAGTTCTCAAATCTCAAGTGAGAATTAATTATCTACTGTAAATTCCGTACATGGAACGTTTTTGCATTCCCGGTTGTCGCTTCTTAAGCCTGGAGTCAAAATACTCTAACTGGGATAATCTGTTGTGTGCGCACATTATTTTTGCACACATATTGTGTTTTACGTTTAGTGCAGGACTCTTATTGTCTGTTTTCTTCCAAACCAATACTAGTCCACCTTTACGAGCGATAAATTCTGTGACCTCTGACCTTTCTGCCACCCATTTGTTCACTAATTCATCAAAGTTGTGGTACGTTTCTGCGCCCGAGATATAATAATATTATCCGCAGTACATGGCTTAGCATTAATTCTTTGGGTGGTGCATCCACGTGTGTGAGTGGATGGCTTTGTTCTTCGTGATTGACTCTCTGTGTGTGTGTGTGTGTGTGTG